TGCTTCAGATTGAATCTGTTGAGTCAGTTATTACCTCAAGATATTTCACTTGGCGTACCTCACTTGGTGTACTCAACCTTTTTTCTGGATATAGTTTAAGCTGCAGCCTTCTTACCCCAGGGGAAAAACTGCAGAATTAGGTTTGGCAACTTCAAACCCCATTTCAGTCTTGCCTGTAGAGTTGTATGAGAGTGCTGGGATTGTTGACTTCCACCTTCCAAAGCAGTCCCATTTGCTCAATTTCAATCCAGAGGGCCGTCAGGGTTTTTCTTCCACTGCTTCTTTTAAGCAGGCTGATTCATTTATCATACACGAAGGAAGTTCCTAAAATAGGTTCTCCGTCTCCCATATCAGCTGTCTCTGGTGGATTCAGTAGGTTATTGTGGAAACCTATAGGTTAAGAGCGAGTGCCTCAGTTTCCACTCAAACCCACTCCACTTTAATGAGTGTTTTCTAAAGTGTATTTCCACCTTTGCAGCCAAATTGGATAATGCCTACTTTATATTTGTTACATATTCTCATTCGCGTATCAACGTAAATCCCAAAAAAGCTTTTTCTGAAAACTCCAGAACTGAATTTTTTTTAGTTGTCCACAGCTTGATAGTTTGGTCTGGTTTTAAACATCCTATATCTCATACTTGGGGCAGGCATACCAAACACAGCTGAGCCATCTCAATAAGAAATGATCAAAAAGAACTGCAAGCTACTCTGAAATGAGTGGAAATGTAATCTTTCCCCAATCACAAAGCTGGACACACAGGTTTCCCTCATTAACATACAATGCAGAAGGACAGCATCTAGATCTTTTAACCCTTTGTTGGTTAAGACTGTTCAATTCTAGTTTACAACTTACAGTTGTGTTCAAAATAATAGCAGTGTGTTGAAAAAAGTGAATAAAGCTCCTCCTGTACCTCTACCCCCTCCCTCCTAGACTGTAAGCTCGGAAGAGTAGGGCCCTATAACCCCTCGTGTGTGCTGTTTGTAGTTGCTGTAATGTTTCATGTATTGTCCCCCCCTCTATTGTACAGCGCTGAGCAAACCCTTTGGCGCTATATAAACTCAATGTAATGTAATGTAAAGCTCAAAATCCTTCTAATAGCTTTTATTTCCATACACACAAATGCATTGGGAACACTACACATTCTATTCCAAATCAAAACATGAAGAAAAATATATCAAATTTGTGTTGTTCCTCTAAAATTGAAGAAGAGTGAATATTAGACTGTTCAAAAAAATAGCAGTGTTTTGTATTCTTCTTTACAAACTCAAACATTCACTATATAAACTGAAAAATGTTTGAAGATTTTGCTTTTCTTTGAATCACTTAATAGTTAGTTGTATAACCACTGTTTCTGAGAACTGCTGTACATCTGTGTTGCATGGAGTCAACCAACTTCTGGCACCTGTGAACAGGTATTCCAGCCCAGGATGATTGGACTACATTCCACAGTTCTTCTCTATTTCTTGGTTTTGCCTCAGAAACTGCATTTTTGATGTCACCCCACAAGTTTTCTATTGGATTAAGATCCGGGGATTGGGCTGGCCACTCCATAACGTCAATCTTGTTGGTCTGGAACCAAGATGTTGCACGTTTACTGGTGTGTTTGGGGTCGTTGTCTTGTTGGAACACCCATTTCAAGGGCATTTCCTCTTCAGCATAAGGCAGCATGACCTCTTCAAGTATTCTGATGTATTCAAACTGATCCATGATCCCTGGTATGTGATAAATAGGCCCAACACCGTAATATGAGAAACATCCCCATATCATGATGCTTGCGCAACCATGCCTCACTGTCTTCACAGTGTACTGTGGCTTGAATTCAGTGTTTGGGGGTCGTCTGACAACCTGTCTCCGGTCACTAGACCCAAAAAGAACAATCTTACTTTCATCAGTCCACAAAATGTTGCGCCATTTCTCTTTAGGCCAGTCAATGTGCTCTTTGGCAAATTGTAATCTCTTCAGCACATGTCTTTTTTTCAACAGTGGGACTTTGCGGGGGCTTCTTGCAGATAGTTTGGCTTCACATAGGCGTCTTCTAATTGTAACAGTACTCGCAGGTAAATTTAGACCTTTTTTGATCTTGCTGGAGCTGATTGTTGGCTGAGTCCTTGCCATTTTGGCTATTCTTCTATCCATTCGAATGGTAGTTTTTCGCTTTCTTCCACGTCTTTCAGGTTTTGGTTGCCATTTTAAAGCATTTGCGATCATTTTAGCTGAGCAGCCTATCATTTTCTGCACTTCTTTATATGTTTCCCCTCTCTCAATCAACTTTTTAATCAAGGTACGCTGTTCTTCTGAACAATGTCTGGAATGGCCCATTTTCCTCAGTATTTCAGAGAGAAATGCACTGCAAACCAGCATGTACAACATTTGCTGCATTCCTTCCTTAAATAAGGGCAATAATTGCCACCTGTTTTTCAAAGAATGAATGACCTCACTAATAGAACTCCACACTGCTATTATTTTGAACATGCCCCTTTCAATTAGTGATTCAATTACATAGAATCAGCAGCATGCATGTCATGACTGTTGGGTCTGTTGGATTTCTATTACTCTACTATACCTGCTAGTAAATTATATGCCATGTAGAAATATTTCTACCAAAAACAGTGATTGATCAGGTTAGTGATGTCTGACTGCTATTATTTTGAACACAATTGTATGTGATCTTCCTACACAGTACAGACAGGATTAATTATGCTAAACATTATATCCCCAGCTCCCTGTACATAGCAGAGGAAAATAGGATTGTTTTACTTAAACTCTTATCATGGAGTCTATTGAGGGACACTGCTCCCTCCACTCAAATACTGCTCTCTATTTGGACTACTTACAACAACTGAACATGTGTTAGGTGGGAGGGATTATAGCCCTAAGGGAGTTGGCCTTCAGTTTTCTCTGTGCCTCCTGTCCATTTCTCCTGTAGGTAGTAGTATAGCCTTGGATCTCTTAGGCATTCACACGGGAGTATTAAAGCATATACAGTCATGGCCGAAATTGTTGGCACCCTTGATATTTTTCCTGAAAATCAAGTATTTCACACAAAAAAGGTATTGCATTAACACATGTTTTGCTATACACATGTTTATTCCCTTTGTATGTATTGGAACAAATATAAAAACAGAGGCAGAAAAGCAAATATGACATAATGTCACACAAAACCCCAAAAATGGGCTGGACAAAAGTATTGGCACCCTTAACTTAATATTTGGTTGCACACCCTTTGGAAAACATAACTGAAATCAGTCGCTTCCTATAACCATCAATAAGCTTCTGACACCTCTCACCCGGAATTTTGGACCACTCTTCCTTTGCAAACAGCTCCAGGTCTCTCTTATTGGAAGGACACCTTTTCCCAACAGCAATTTTAAGATCTCTCCACAGGTGTTCAATGGGATTTAGATCTGGGCTCATTGCTGGCCACTTCAGAACTCTCCAGCGCTTCTTTGCCATCCATTTCTGAGTGCTTTTTGACGTATGTTTGGGGTCATTGTCCTGCTGGAAGACCCAGGATCTTGGACGCAAACCCAGCTTTCTGACACTGGGCCCTACAGTGCGACCCAAAATCCTTTGGTAATCCTCAGATTTCATGATGCCTTGCACACAGTCAAGGCACCCAGTGCCAGAGGCAGCAAAACAACCCCAAAACATCATTGAACCTCCACCATATTTTACCGTAGGTACTGTGTTTTGTTCTTTGTAGGCCTCATTCCGTTTTCGGTAAACAGTAGAATGATGTGCTTTACCGAAAAGCTCTATCTTGGTCTCATCTGTCCACAAGACGTTTTCCCAGAAGGCTTTTGGCTTACTCAAGTACATTTTGGCAAACTGTAGTCTTGCTTTTTTATGTCTCTGTGTCAGCAGTGGGGTCCTCCTGGGTCTCCTGCCATAGCGTTTCATTTCATTTAAATGTCGACGGATAGTTCGCGCTGACACTGATGCTCCCTGAGCCTGCAGGACAGCTTGAATGTCTTTGGAACATGTTTGGGGCTGCTTATCCACCATCCGGACTATTCTGCGTTGCAATCTTTCATCAATTTTCCTCATCCGTCCACGACCAGGGAGATTAGCTACAGTGCCATGGGTTGCAAACTTCTTGATAATGTTGCGCACTGTGGACAAAGGCAAATCTAGTTCTCTGGAGATGGACTTGTAACCTTGAGATTGTTGATATTTTGCCACAATTTTGGTTCTCAGGTCCTCAGACAGTTCTCGTCTCCTCTTTCTGTTGTCCATGCTTAGTGTGGCACAGACAGACACACAATGCAAAGGTTAAGTGAACGTCTCTCCTTTTTATCTGCTTTCAGGTGTGATTTCTATATTGCCCACACCTGTTACTTGCCCCAGGTGAGTTTTACAGGAGCATCACATGCTTGTAACATTCTTATTTATCCGCAGTTGTGAAAGGGTGCCAATACTTTTGTCCAGCCCATTTTTGGAGGTTTGTGTGACATTATGTCGAATTTGCTTTCTTTCCTCCCTTTTTTTGTTTTGTCCCAATACACACAAAGGGAATAAACATGTGTATAGCAAAACATGTGTTAATGCAATACGTTTCGTGAGAAATACATGATTTCCTGGAGAAATATCAAGGGTGCCAACAATTTCGGCCATGACTGTATCTGTTTGCAGGACCATGTTTGCACCCACAGGATGCACAAGTGTTCCATACATCTACATTCAGGCAGTCCCATTCATGTCAATTGAGATGCAGTGACTGCAAGGATGCTGCTGCTCCCAATTTGACATCTGTGCAGGTGCATGTCTCTGAACTCACACTGTCTGCATTTGGGGACACACAACCGCACAGATGTCAAATTGGGACCTTCGGCTGCAAGTGAATGAATGTGTAACCTATCCCGTGTGAGCAAACACAGCCCTTCTTACTAAACAGATGTATCCCTCAATGGAATAAAATTATTTTACTATAAATTAAATAAAATAACTATATATTTTTTTTTATATATATGAAATGCTAAACACATTTTTCCTTTTCTAGAGCGAGGTGCCAAACCTGTTACAAATTTTGTAAAGAACCTTTCTGCCTTATCAGACTGGCATTCTGTCTACACTTCTGCTATTGCCTTTATTGTAAGTAATCATACTAGCATTATGTAGTGTTTAGTTAATACAAATGTAGTTCTATCAAATTGTTGAAAGTTATACATTTCTATTGTGCCATCGATGTGAACTTTTTTTGCTCATCCTGTTGACAGCTGTAGGCACTAAAGAGGGAAAAGGCTAAAGCAGAAACCAATATGGCAACTGCTATTGCTAACTTGCATCTGAAGTTGTGTGTTCAGTGCAGTCACTCCTCTCTATACTTCACTACTTAACTCTCACTGGCCCAGAACAAGAATGACTATGTTGGATATTTTAAAACTAGGCTAGTGACTCAAAAGGCAATAAAGATATACAGTATAAAGATGACAGCCCTGGAACCAGCAAAAACATGTTGGCATTATTTGGCATAATTGCAGTATTTTATACTAACCGAATCCTTGTAGGTTATGAAAAAAATATCCTTTTTTTTATGGGCTTTGTCCAATCTTGCAATGGGGATCCCTATTGTTTCACCCTGGGTGAGAACGTGTACCAGCAGTGGTATCCTTACCGCACTATGGTTACTGTAGCATTTCTACAAATTTTTGCTTTTTATCTTAAAATCCATTATTTTATTTCAAATGTACGATCCCCATTCTAAACATAAAAACATTTTTGAAAACTCAAAATTTAAATAAACTCAACAGAGCTCAACTTATGTGGCAGAAGGGAAAGTTGTCTCAAACAGCCTGCATCAGTCCCAGAGCATCCGGTCTAATGTAACACACACTGGGAAATGGCAAAATAAGAAACTTGTGTTGTTGAAGTTTAGGCTTTATAATATAATACAGGCTGTGTAATTTTGTATTACAGGTAATAAAGCAGCTGCTCATTTAACCTTACAAGTCAATTCAAACCATTATTATATTTGAAAAGTATGTGATTACTATATTCAGTTTCCAGTGTATTATTAACTTTACCAACTCATAGGATTCATATACGTTAATAGCCATGGGGTGGCTTCCCTCTTAAAATCAGACCTATTAACTGATCTATGCATATACTTGCTGTGTACATCTACACCTAATGCACTACTCTGAGAACTAACTGGCTAGATTACTTATGGAATTTTTGGACGTTTGAATTATCAGCAACTCATACTCAATATTTACTGTCTTTCTTGACATTTATGTTGCATAATTTTGTTTTGTCTTTTTTTTTTTCTTCTTAGATTTACATGAATGCTGTATGGCATGGCTGGGCCATTCCTATGTTTTTATTTTTAGCTATTTTGAGGTTATCCCTAAATTACCTCATTGCCAGGTAATGTTTAAAATGTTGCTTTTAATACCCTCTTTCCTGCTTTCTCTAAAGGACTATCACTAAAACAACAAAAAAAAAAAAAAAAAATCTGCAAAAAAAAAAACTGATGGTAGCAGTGCAAGTTGTGAACATGTTTTTTTTGTACAGAGCAATTTAACTGTGCTCTGACAGTAGTTGGGAGAAACTGTTAGGAAAAATGTCTGTCACGTTGTTTGTAATGATCAATTGTGTATAATCTTGCTCTGTACAGACAGCCCAGGTACTGGCCCTTTCACAGCAAAACAATGGTGACAGGTGAGGGACTTCCTTCCTGAATAGTGAGACGCAAATCTTTTGTTTGCTTATTTCTCTGAGCCTTATTGAAATCTACAGGGGGAAAATCATGATATTCAATTTGTTACTTTTGTGGGGTTAATAAACTACTGTCAAAAAGAGACATAGGAAGCAGAGTATTGCCATTGCCATGTTCCAGTTACAAAATTGATAACAGCATATTTGTCTGTGGATTTTTTTTTTTTTTCTTGTAGAGGTACAATCAGTATTCAGCCTATCCGCCTTCCACCGTCCCCCAACCTTCCTCTCATTCCTTCTTTATCTTGTTTTCTTCTTCATCCTCGACCCTCCACCTACTTGGCCTAATAATGGCAGCACTGGTACACATGCAAAGCCAATGTTATCTCCAAGTTAATGCCACACAGTTTGGCAGTGTTGGCCTTTTTAATTTTTTTTATGCGACAGTACCCTTGTGATCATCAGCTCAGCAGCTTCTGTCTCTGAGTGGATAAGTAGATTTTTTTTTTTCAAATTCTTTATTTTAAATACAAGAGTTTTTAACCATAAAAAATAAAAAGGCTATATCTGCACAATCACGGAAAAACGAGAGAATTTTCTCCATATTCTCTGGTATCGAAGTATACTTGAGCATAAATTGTAGCCCTTGCATAGATAAATTGTCTCGGAGGACACTGTTGTGTCTTTTGTCAGATATATGAAATATAGAATCTAGGAAAGGAAGGCAGGAAAAAGAGAGAGAGAAAGAGAGAAGAAAAAAAAAGAGGGGTAGGGAGCGGAGGGAGAGAGGGATAAGAATGACATAACGGAAGATTAGGGTGGTGTGTCGAGGAGGCACATCGAGTAGTAGTTAAGGGTATGCGGTCTTAATTGATGGGGTTATTCACCTCGAGAAGGAATGTCCCCTCCTCCGAAAAACCAAATATGTTCCATAGGGGCCATGTTTTGGTATATACCTCATGTTTATTTTGTTTCGTCAGTACCAAGTCTTCCATTAAATTCAGCTCCTCAACCTTTTGAAGCCAAAGTCCAATAGAAGGGGGATATTAATCTTTCCATCTAAGGGATATACAGGATTTGGCAGCATTCAGAAGATGCCGCAAGATGGCGTGTTTGCATACTTTAGCCGGAGTGTTAGTAACATGGAGAAGAAAAAATGCAGGATCATCAGGAACCTTATGGTAAGTAAATATTTGGATGATTCGATGGACCTCCCATCAGTAGTGCTCCAACCTGGGGCATGACCAGAAGATATGAAGGAGCGTTCCCTTTTCTGAGAGACCGCGCCAGCATCTATCCATGGTAGTTGTGAAGAATTTATGTTAGAGCGGTTGACGTACGATACCACAGAGATACAATCTTGAAGTTATTTTCCTGAATTTTAGTGTAGAGTGAGGATTTCAAGGCGAAACAAACTGTTAATTTTTTGAGAGTCAGAAAAAGTCCCCAGGTCAGACTCCCACTTGTCTAAACAGGGTAAGGAGAAGTCCTCCGGAGGTTAAATCAGAAGGGTATACAACTTAGGCATGTGGGAGAGTGCCACTATTCGAGCAGTAGTCCTCTAGAGTGGTCAATCTACTCCGAAATCCTTGGGTGGAAGGGAGGATACAGAAAAATTTCTGAAGCTGCAAGGCTTTCCAGAAGTCAAGACAAAAAGGTCCAGTAGGATTCATCAAGATCTGAATAGATGGTCAGGAGCCAGTTTCCAAAAAGTGAGAGGCTTGAAAACAACCAGAACACAACATAGTCCAAAAAGTGCCCTCACTGAGACCCAGCATGAAACGTGGATTACCCAGAATCGGGAATAGCGGGGAATTCCCTGGGGGAAATGGGTGTGATTGAAAGTAACTACGAGCACACCCCTGAGGTCGTGCCGATCAGCGGATAAGCTTTGAGCATAGAGGATAAGAAAGCATGACACCATGGGACTCGCTGAAGCGTAAACGGTTTCTGATTCTGTTCAATAAGGTTCCATAGTTTAGTATCCCTGTGTCAGCATCCGTCCAACAGGCGTCCTAAATGGGCCACCTGATAGTATCTTTGCAGGTCAGGAATGGCCAGACCGCGAAATTGCTTAGGTAAGGTAAGCAATCGGTGCCTGATATGAGGCCTCTTATTTCCCCAAATAAAGTCTGAGTATGGAGTGTGCTTGCCTAAAGAATGAGGACGGAATGAATCATAAATATAAAAATTTATGTAAAATACATATTTTGATGATGTTACAACGTCCAAACCAAATATGGAGGCCGCCACACCATTTGTCTAGCAGAATGCGTATCCGATTTAAAAGGGGCGGAAAATTCAAGGTAAGTGTGAGAAATTTTGGGTGGAATATTGGTACCTAGGTAATTCAGTGCCTTGTGGGTCCATTTGAATTTGTAATTCAATTGCAGAGATCTAACAAGATACAGCGACATCGCGACACCCATTGCTTCCGATTTAGTGAAGTTTTTTTTAAGATGGGATAAAGATCCATAATGCTCAAACTCACATAGGTTAGGAGGGAGATCCCGGGGTTCATTAGGGTGAATAGCATGTCATCTGCACAAGCAGATACTTTGTATTGAATATCTCTTGTACATAACCTCTGGATATCAGGATTCCTTTGGAGAGAGCAGAGAAAAGGCTCCAGAGTTGGGGCAAAGAGCAGGGGTGAGGGTGGACACCCCTGCCTAGTGCCATTCAAAATAGGGAAGGGATCTGATAAGAAGCCGTTCACCTTCATAGATGCCGTAGGTATAGTGTACACACTGGAAATCCAAGTTATCATGTTTTTTCCCAAGGTCCATGTACTGTAAGATGGCTAGCATGAATTGCCAATTTTTACTCGGTCAAATGCCTGTTCTGCGTCTGTACATGGAAAAAGACAAGTTATATTAGTCTGTCTGCACGTGTGAAGCAAGTTGAAAACCTGTGTTATCTCGAGCCTCCCGGGTAGGAATAAAACCACTTGGTCGAAATGGGTTAGGTGTGGTAGATTTCGTTGTAATCTGGTGGCTACGATCTTAGTGAAGAGTTTCAGATCAATATTTAAAAGAAAGATTGATCGGTAGCTACTGCAAGAGGAAGAATCTTTTACCTCTTTTGGCAGAACAGTAATATGTGCTTTCACAGTGTCCAGAGAAAAAGAAGCCGTGCCTCCCAACGTATTAAACATTTTAACCACTACCCCGCTGCCCTATAGTAGAACTACTGCTGCAGGGCTGCGAAAATGTGTATATACGTGATTTGCATTTCTGAGTAGGGGGCGCGCATGCTGCCCTACCCACGCCATTGGCAGCTACAGATGTCAATCACCAGATTCCCCGCTGGCACCCGGCGATCGCCGAGAAGCATTGACAAACAAAGGTCTCTATCCTGTGCAGTAGAGAAATACACAGCAGCATGTTTCCCTAGTAAAGCACACACAGTAAAACCACACACAGTTAACCCTTGTTCTCCCCAAATGTTAACCCCTTCCTGCCCAGTGTTATTAGTACAGTGTCAGTACTTTTTATTAGCACTGATCACTGTATTGGTGTCATTGGGATGTAAGTAGCAGTTAGTTCCCATTCAGTGTCAGAATGCCCGCCGCAGTCCCGCTTTAAGTCGCTGATCAACGCCAATACTAGTATAAAAAAATAAAAATTCCAGTATATATACCACCATTTGCAGACACTACTTTCACGTAAACCAATTAATTTGCATTGGGACTTTTTTTTTTAGCAAAGACATGGAGCAGAATACATTTTGTCCTAAATTTATGACGACATTTTATTTTTATTTTCCTGGATATGTTTTATAGCAAAAAGTAAAAAATGTATTTTTTTTTTTCAAAATTGTCAGTCTTTTTTTGTTTATACACAAAAAAAAAAAACCCAAAAAACAGAGGTGATGAAATACCACCAAAAGAAAGCTCTGTTTGTGTAGAAAAAGGATGTACATTACATTATGTACAGCGTTGCATGACCGCGCAATTGTCAGTTAAAGTAACGCAGCACCGTATCACTAAAAATGGTCTGGTCAGGAAGGGGGTAAATCCTCTGACGGACAAGTGGTTAAGCATATATGGGCCAAGATTGGGAAGTAGCAATTTATAATACTGAACTGTAAGGCCATTAGGTCCAGGAGCTTTACCCAGTTTAGTCAAATTAACAGCCAGTCGTGGTTCATCCACCATTCTAGGAGCCTCCAGTGCTTGACGAACCGAAAGGGGCAGTTTAGGCATACCGGAGGACGTCAGGTAATCCTCTGCAGGGACTGACGGAACAGATGTAGTATGCAGGTTATATAAAGAGGAGTAAAATTTGGGCAAAGAGGTCTACTGTCCATTCGCTTGCGTTATATGGGGAATGTAGGTCGTTGCTCTCTGGTCCTGTAGGGATTTGGACAATAACTTTCCACATTTATTACTGAATTCATAGAAGGCACGTCTGCAGGTTTGGACTGTGTAATCAGAAAAAAGTACAGCGCTGAGAAAACAACTAATGGTATTGAAAATGATAAAATATAAATATTAAAATACCAAGTGCGCATATGCTAAGTGATAAATAATATGACACTATCCAATGAATAAATAAATTAAATAAAAGTCCAGTGTGAGTGTGATATTGTCCTTTATGCGAAGTAGAAATCCTGTGCTCATGAGATAAAATCCTGTGCTCAGGTGAAGATATGTTCCATGTGACAACTGTTCCATTCGGTGAAGTGTGGAGAATATGGTAAAAATG